AGTGGAACTGGGAAAAAAAGAGGTGAGATGTATCAAATGCAGGTACAAATTCCCTACAGTGAGTGTTTTCATTATGCATGACTGGAAGCACCAATAAATGGTTTGCTGTTTTAAAAAAAACATTGACTGGATGAAAGATAACCTTTTTTTTTTAAAAGAGGGTCTCAGGATATAGTTGAGACTGACCTGGAACTCGCTACACAGCCTGGGACCGTCTCGAACTTCCAGTGATCCTCCTGCCTCAGCCTCCCAAGTGCTGGGATTACAGGTGTAGGCCACGACACCCGGCTAAGATAGCCTTTTAATACATGGTACTGGGAAAACTGGATATCCTCATGCAGAAGATCAAGTCTAGACCCATGTGGAAAACCATATATCTCACCATGTACGGAACTAAATCAAATGCATCAAAGATATAAACATTAAAACAGAAATATTTAATCTTGTAGGCAGTAAAATGGGTAAGATTCTTAAAGACAAAGGAGTAGGTAAGGACTTTCTGAACAGAACACCAATGGCACAAGAGATAATATTGAGAATGCACAAATGGACTCCTATCCGATTAGAAAGCTTCCAAACAGCAAAACAATCAATCAACAGAGTGAACTGGCAACTAACAGAAGGGGAAAATTTTTGCCTTCTATTTCTTGGACAGTCAACTAATATCTACAATATATAAACTACACAAAAATCTTAGGCTCTCCAAAACACAAAACCCAAACAAAAAATGGGCAACCAAAGTAAGTAGCCACTTTTTAGAAGTACAAATGACCAATAAATACATGAGAAAAAAAAGTTGAACATTGCTGTCCATAGAGAAATGAAAATTAAACCTATACTGAGATAACATCTTAAGCCAGAAAGAATGGCTGTCATCAAAAAAAATCAAACAATAATAAATGCTGTGGAAGATGTGGGGAAAAGGGAACTCTGCCCCGCTGGCTGCTGGTGGGGATGTAGACTGGTGCAAAGATTATGGAAGTCAGTGTGGAGATTCCACAAAAAACTAAAACTACAAATTCCATTTGACCCATCTGTCCCTCTCCTGAGTGGCTTCCCAAAAAAGTGGAAGTCATCATATTACAGGAATGCATGCATACTGATGCTCACAGCACAATTTATAATAGCTACTTCTTGGAAATGTCATATATACCCATCACCAGATGAACAGGCTTGAAAATGTGATACTGGGCCAGGGATGTAGGTCAGTGGCATCACGCTTGCCCTGCAAGTACAAGGCCCTGAGTTTGATCCCCAGTTCAAAAAAAAGAGCTATTTACACACAATGGATCACTACCGTCCTACAAAGAAAGATACACTTGAGGGTTTTGCAGGTCAAGGGATACAAACTGAGAATTTAATGTTTTTTTCTGGTATTCTATTAAAAATATAGACTAATAGTCTTGCCCTAAATGTTACTGCAGTTGTGAGCCAACTCCCGTTAAACATAACAATTTGCAAGGGACTCATCACAAATATACTTGGGAAAGAAGTTAAAATGTAAACAGAAATGACTGACAAGGCAGGAACATTTCAGAGATAATTCTTTTACAATACTTGCTAGATGGAGGTTAACATTATTTACAATGATATCAGTGTTTACATATAGACTGAATATCACCAGCACAAGGGCACATTATGACCACTAGACGTCTTTTCATACTTCCCAATAGTTTTATATTTTAGCTATGAGGATCAGTTACCAGAACCCAACTAGCATTCAACATGTACAATGTTTATGTCCACTCAGAGTCTCTTACACCTCTCTGAGGCTATTCATTTGGAGGCAGAAGAAACTACAACCAGGTTTTTCTACCATATGCTCACGTATGTGGTCCAATCTTCACACACCGTTCAATTCCTTCAAGATAAATGGAGTGACTCGCAGCAGGGCCACGCAGATGAGGAAATCCCCCAGGAGGAAATCACATCCTCACACATCTTCCCTTTCATCCCCTCAGGCCCCAGCTTTGGCACGAGGCCATGGGTCCAGAACATCTCTGCTCCGCAGCACCTCCGCTCTGCAGCAACACCTTCCAGCCGCTGCGCTTTGCTCGCAGATCTTCAGGCTCCGACTCACACCCACCGAGAACACGATGCTGAGTGAAATCTGTCACACACACAAACATAAATATTCCAGGGCTTCATGTACACATTATATAGGAGATGTATAGACATATATGTATATGACAGATATATGTGACTCATATTTATGTAAGATAGGGAGCAAAATAGAAGGTCAATGAATAGGAAGTAGGGCAAAGTCAAGCTCATTCCCCAAATTATCTACTCCACTGTTTTGAAACTATTTTAATGTACATTTAATTTGTTTCATTTCAGGGTCCCCCCCCTTCTTTGCTGTTGTTGTTTTGGTTTTCTGAGACAGGGTCTCACTATGTAACTGTGACTGACCTGGAACTGACTGTGTAGCCCAGGCTGGTCTCCAACCCACAGTTGTTCTCCTGCCTCAGCCTCGGGAGTGCTGGGATTACAGGCGTGCACCACCATGCCTGGCTTCATTGAAGACAAAGTTCTGTGCTTCTATCTGTTTGTTTTTTCAGTGTAAGAGTTCACAGTCCCGAGAACCACTGAGCTAAATCCCCAGCCCTATTTTTTTATTAATATCTACTTTTATTACATTAAAAGAAAACCGTTTTCAAAATTGAAAAACCATTCTGAAGATAGCAGATATTCACTGCATTGCCCACTATCAAATTACTGAGGATTACTGTATCACATTAATCAAGGAAAGCGACAAAAAGGCTCTGGACAAACAAACAAAACGAAACTGAGCTAAATCCCCAGCCCTATTTTTTTATTAATATCTACTTTTATTACATTAAAAGAAAACCGTTTTCAAAATTGAAAAACCATTCTGAAGATAGCAGATATTCACTGCATTGCCCACTATCAAATTACTGAGGATTACTGTATCACATTAATCAAGGAAAGCGACAAAAAGGCTCTGGACAAACAAACAAAACGAAACCAACCACTTCAAAAGATGTATCACCGATTTCTAACTTAAACCGATAGCAACAATATGAGCTAACAGTTTCGCACCTAGGCATTTTCCCCTGGGAAGGAAAGTCTATATTCATACGAATGTGTGTATAGGAATGGTCACAGCAGCTTGGTTTTTAAGGGTCAACACAGGAGACAAAGCAAATGGCCATCAGCAGATGGATGCATGGACAAGTTGTGGTTCACTCCCACAATGACACCCAATGGCTTCGCCACTGAAAAGCAGTGGCACAGGGGGAAGGAAGCGTGATGACACTGCTTCACTAGGTCCTACCAAAGAACATTGCTTTTGAAGGGTTACATCTCCATCATCTTTAGAATAGGAAAACAGAGCCCAGTGTGGTGGTGCAAGCCCGCAATCTCAGCACTCAGGAGGCTGAGGCAGGAGGATCTCTGTGTGTTCGAGACCAGCCTGGGTACATAGTGAGTTCCAGGTCAGTCTCAACTACATATGAGACCCTGTCTCAAAACAAACAAACAAACAAACAAATAAAAAAGAAAAAAAAAAGAAAAGGCCAACAAAGGGATACAAAGCACATGGTCTGCTTGGGAGGACACGAAGTGATAACAAGAGCCACAAGAAGAATTTCCAAGTGATGTGTGCATGTGTTCTTCATCAGCATTGGGGTGATGAGCTTCACACCTTTATAAAGACTTTACTTTGCAATCACCACCCGCTGTCCCTCCTCACACAGTGTCATAGTACTGAGTACTAGTGTGATTGAGTTAAACATCTAAATATGAATAAGTAATCAGTCATATGCACCTGAAAGCTAAACCCTGCTATGGATCCTCTATGCCTATAGATGCAGGGATTCATATTTAAAACTTTCAGATCCACTAAGGAAAATTTTTATGGACATTTCTGAAACATCTCCATATTCGAGACTGGAAATGAAATAAAACTGAAATTTAAAAAAATAAATAAGTTGAGGATATACTCCTAAGTGAAATAAATACGTCACACATGTGTAAATACCGAATAGTTTCTCTGGTGTGAATAAAGTATCATAGTACATAAGATGCTAATGAGATAATTGACACTGCGACATAGGAAGAAAAGGGCTAAAGGTGTAGGGAAAGTGGAAAGAGTAGGGGAAAGGTAATAAGGGCAAGGAAAAAATTAGGAGAAAATGAAAAAATGGAAATAAAATGCTTGTAAAAACGGGGAGGGCAAGACGGGGTGAAGGGAGGGCAGGGACAAGGGGAAAATATGAGAACCAAGGCCTGTCATGTAAACGTACAAGATCCCAATGATGAATGTATCTGTACTGTACACCTAAAATGTACCAATAAACTCAATGAGGGAAAAAATGATTAAAAGAAAAACAAAACTGAAATTAACCCACACAACAAAGTCATCCTAAAATGTCACACATCTCTAAGTGATGACAGCAAGCACGACATCTTCAGAGAGAATGTGGCCTTTGGACGGAAAATACACTTTGCAATGTGCCTGCCATATCTTAAGCATCTATGTACTTGCTGCATGAAATCTTACAAACTTCACCAGAGTCCAAAATCAGACAGCTTTTCTAGGTTTTCACTTTCTTTTTCTAAGGAGAACACAGATTTCTTTCACCATGAAAAGAAAGGGACCCCAGTCTGGCCCGCATACACAGAAGCTCTCTTTCTCACAGTAAATTTTTCCTGCTTCAAAAGAAAGGAAGGGAGGGAGGGAGAAACAGAAAGCAGAAAGAAACAAAGAAAGAGAGAAAGAGAAGAAAGAAGAAAGAAAAGAAAGGGGGCTTGTCGGAAAGATTCTTCTTATAAGAGGGGGGCTCGGCCTTTGACCCCAGCATGTGACCTCACTTCCTTGGCGATGGGTCCAAACAGAACTTGGAACCCTGCACTCAACTGCCTCCCCGGTCACTTGGCTGAGGACAGTTAGCAGCGAACATGCTGTGCTGCTTTCCCAGACCTCAAGGCCGCAGGCCCAGGACCCCACGAAAGGAAAGCACTTGGCAACTAGTGAGAGGATGGTTCACTTGCCCCAGATGCCTCAGGACACTATCCAGAAACCGCCCAAACACCATGGGCAGCACAGGGCAGGTCTCCCCAGACCCAGATCCCAAGGGCCCAGAGACAAGAGGGAGCCCAGGACGGGTGTCCCCAGGCTCAACCGTTAGCCGCTCGAAGTCACTGAGTCCAGGACAGGTCCATGGACCGGACACTACTGTGAGTCCCTCTGTACAACTTCCCTCCATCCTCAGTGTGTTGTGTGTGAGCTGAGGGGATGGGGTCCCGAGCACAGTCCTCCCGGATGGGGGCAGGCATGGGAGGCTGTGATCCCAGGATTCTGTCACATTCCCAACCTGGGCATGGCTGGGAGGAGGAGAAAGGCAGGGCCCGAGTGTTGGTCCCCAGCCTCATGGCCATCTCCTGTCCTGATCAGGGAAAGCCTGTGACAGCCTGTGAAATGGCTGTCTGCTGTTTGGAGAGTAGAGGATGTTTGGGGCAAAAAGAATACAAACCATAGTCTACCACAGCCTCATGTTTCCCAGCCTGGGAACTGCTGGGCACTTTCCAAGAAACACTGTACAGGGGACACTGGCCTGGACCCGGTCACTAGGAGCCTGTATGTCGTCTTCTTGCGCCAGACACTGGGGCCCCACAATAACAACGGGGTCCAACGTGGGTGCACAGGGTGTGTGTGAGCAGAGGGGACTCTGTACTGTGAGCAGAGAAGGACTGAGAGGACCTTCAGAGCCACACAGCAACGTCAGCCCCTCCTTCCAGGACTTAGTAAACAGTGGAACCAGCATCCTGATCCCAAAAGATTGGGACCATGTCCTCATCCTCAACATCCTCTCTGCTCAGCCACTCTCTTGGCCAGGTGCAAGGTTCCCATCCACACACTGGTGAGAGCATCACAATAGGGACAGGGACACTAAGTCACTTCACTTCCTGGCATCATTTCATTGTGCCATTTGACCTCACTGTAAATCCTGGGCCCAGGAGTCCATGCGTCACTGCCCCAACTGTCCTTCCCCCGTCTCCAGCTCTTACACGTCATCCCATCAGCAGCTGAGCTTGCCCAACACATCAGGCCATGCTACTCTGTCCTCTCCCTGGCACTTGCTGTCTCACAGCACTGATGCAGGCCCTGCAGGTCCCAGGATGGAGTCCTCCTGGGCTCAGTGACATTGTTTCAGGGAAACAGTGAGTACAGTTACTCTGTCTTAAGGCTAAGGAAGCCGGACCTGATTCTTCCCTGGGGACTTTTCCTCAGAAACCAGGGGAACATCCTGAATGACCTCATAAATGATGGAATCACCCAGGATGAGCCTCTGTTTTCTCATCTCTGCAAGGGGAGGTTGGCTCAGGAAAACTGGGAGGTGGTTATTCATGCATAGCGTTACATGAAACCTGTGCACAGCTAATGAGCTCGTCTGATGTCAGTATTTGTAGGTGTCCCTTTGCAAATCTAACTTTTAATAAGAGAACTCCGTGGTGCTGCCCCTTGCCTCTTCATTTCAAGATTATGAGTTAAGTCCACGGTCCCCACAAATAAACAGAATCCCTTTTCTTTTGATTCATTTGCGCCCTTTCTGTGAACCATTTAGTGTGTGGTCTTTGTTTTACCCTCAAATCCTCCTGAGACTTAAAAGGGGGAACATTAATTCCAAGACTCTCTACTGTCTCATCACAGATGGGAACCCAGTCCGCAGAGAGCCTGGCAGACCTCTGCACAGTGAGCACGGTGCAGGCAGGGCCTTCCCACGCCATGATGGAGGCCCTGGAGCAGGACTTCACGGAGAGGAAGAGCAGGTGGGTATCAGCAGTCCATGAATACACATAAAGAGACACTGGGGGCAGACACTTTTCTAGTTGTTGGCCATGATCCTATAGGCACAGCAGATGCCATCACTGCCCTTTTGGTTTGAAGGTTGGGGGCCACAAAGTCCCCCTGGGCAACAGTACAAATATTCTGCACACGAAGCATGATTTGGTCCTTTCCTGGCCTCCACAGATATGGATAAAAGCAGTGCAACTCTGTCCAGAAAAGAACTAGATAACATGGCAACATATCGCTGCATGGGTTAGAGACTCAGCTCTCACTCCTACTTACAGATGCTACTGACCCCAATCTTCTCACATATTTATGCAGCAGCCCTGTGCCCTTGAGTGCAAGGACACAGCAGATCCCAATCCCCGTCCTCAGGAGCTGAGCTGCCGGTGGGGAGAGGCAGAGGTCAGGCTTCCCTGAAGAAACAGAGGTGTCACAACACAACACAAGGACTACCTCCCACAGAGCTGTCTGTCAGCCTCTCAGGGCTGCCTGGGACTGCACTGTCCCATTAGGGTCGGCAGATTGTGGGCCTGGCACTGTACAGATTGGGCAGGAGGCCCAAGTGTTCCTACCTGCAGGTGCGCTCAGTAGGCAGTGTGCATTCGAAGGCCTGCTCTCTCACTTTCCCACCTGCCTGTCTTCCCCAGGTGTGCCTCTTCCATCTTTGACTCCTCACCGGAACTGATATCCCAGGTGGATCCCCAGGATGACCTTCTCCTGAACCAGCTGGAGCCTCCTGAGCCC